TGGGAAAACTCTTAAATGTTCTTAGAATTCCAAGAAAGCTGATTGTGATGCAAGCTGTAGCACTCAGTTTTGAGTTCCCAGTGAAATACTTGAAGGCACAATGTAAAATTTCAGGCACCTGGGATACTGAAAAGTGCAGTGCCAGTGAAAAGAAACTTTGGTGGCGATTTTGTTAGTGGGGCTTATTACATATCTATTTATATAGATAAATATTGTTACCTGCAGGTAATTACTGGAGTCTGTTGATTTTATGACCTGCATTTTTTAAAGTTTGTCAGGAACACTCAGACTATTAAGCTGAAGTTAAGGCTGAGAGTAAATATCTGTAATTTAGGGGAAATAGCATGCAAAAACCAGATGAAGATTAAGGCTTTTCAGTGTTTAAAAAGCATGTTACATTTTACCTGCTCATGGTGTTGCTACAGGGCAGTATTAAGGTTTCTGGTGAAGAAGAAACTTTCACTTATGAAGTCTCTCATATATATATATATTCATTCAAATGTAGCCTACACACAAGATTTCAGTTTGTTTTAACTACATGGGAACCTTAAAGCATCTGTGACAAGTCAGAGTTAGTGGTTGTCCTAACTATGCACTTCTATACAATAACACATTTGGATTTCTTTTTAAATTTAATCTTACCTCTGAATTTCTTGGGTTTGACTATGATCCATAAGCTCCTCAGTCCCGGCAAAGAGGTTGTAAGAACATTCTGATTCTGGTATGTACATTCTGGTTCACCAAAGCATGTCATGTGAGGTCTTAAATGAAAGCCATGGTCACACTGGTTGTTAATATCATTGTGAAATGTGCGTACACATACTATGTAAGGAGTTATGTGTATATACTGAAAATGTGTTCTTAGGGCCCGTCTACACTCAAGCTGTAGCGCTTCAGTGAAGATGCTGCCTATCTTGATGTGAGGGGTTTGCCCGTCAGCATAGGTCACCCCCTCCCTTGAGAGGCAGTACCTAGGTCGATAGGAGAATTTTCCCAGTGCCTTGCACTGTCTACACTAGGCGTTAGGTCAGTTTAACTACATTACTTTGGGTGTGGATTTTTCACATGCCTGAGCGACATAGTTATACTGATCTAATTTACTAGTGTAGACTAGGCCTTAGAGTCTGTATCACGGCAGAGATGGAGAAACGGGTTTCCTGTCAAACAAGAGATGTTGATTTGTCTCTCTCTCTGTCGGCATGTAAATTAAGCATTGTAAGATGACACAACGTTGGCACATTTACAGATGAAGTCAACAGAGAGATATGAAGTCATCAAGAAAGAACATGCAGCGGGAAGAGGAGAACCTTATTTTGAGATATACTTCAAAAGTTTGCTGGACTATATTTGGGCAACAGAGAAGTCACCCCATCATCCTGCACCTAGGAAATAAACCGTCTTGTTTGAAACGCTGCACAGGACATTTGGGGTGAGATAAACTTCTTTAGATAGGTTAGCCTGTCACGTTGGGTAGTCTCTAGAAAGTATGCTGTGATTTTATTTTATATGTAGGGCTACCAGACATCTCGTTTTTAAAGGCACAGTCCTGTATTTAAGCCCTCCTGCAGGTGTACCGACTTTTTCTTAAAAATGGGGAAATTGTCCCATATTTTCAGTCTCCCCCAGCATCTGTACTGACAGTCCTGCTGCTGGACAGATCCCTGCTCATCAGATGCCTGCCCAGCAGCAGTGAGTGTGTGT